AGAAGCCACATACTGTAAAAAGAAGATCAAGAAAAATTATGTATCAGCCTCATCACTCTCCTCGGTTGACTGGGTTCCGATAAAATCAAGTCTAGATTTTAGCTAAAAATACACTAGAATTAAAATAAAAACTTTTTTTGTTTGTTTACTGTACATAAGGGCAATGACTAAGTCTATTCAGATACCTCAGAGCAAAGGCAACAGGGTCTTCTGGAAACAAAGTTTATTATTAAGTTTGAGATGTTCTACTTCAGAGGGAATGCAACAATATATATCAATATAACTTCTAATTGAGACTCACACAACAGCCTCTAAGTCACGGCAAAAGGCAAAGAATGAAGAGATCTTTAACTATTAATGATATACAAGTAAATCTTTACATCTGTGGGGGAAAAAAGAATAAAAGCAGCAACCCAGAACTTCAAGGTTCCAGATATACAAAAGCCTGATTTTTTGAGTTAAGCTAATTCATGTTTGGTGGTTGTTTTTTTTCCCCAAAACTACTATTGATAAGGTGATGAGTACAGCCAACTATAACAGTATACCTGTCCTGCTTTTCAGAGCAGCCCCAGGTTCTGCCCTGGAATTCCACCAGGAATGGCCCAGCAGACATTGCCCTTGGAGCCAGGGAACACTCCTGGGGTTGTTTTCAACTCTCAGAGGCCAAATGTGCCTCCAACTTCATGAAGACTACAAAGAAAACTGGCCAAATGCTCTTTTCCTGCAGTACAGCATAAGGCACGACTGAACATGTGGCACAAGAGGAGCTATTAGAAGAGACATCACACTAGTTTAAGCACATTTTGTATTTTACCTGATTCTCCTCCATTTATATGTGTTCTTTCCCTCATCATCTTCATGAATGTATTTTCATCTTCAGTTTTCACAGAATCATACAATGGTTTGGGTTGGAAGGGAACTTACCTAGTTCCAACCCCCTGCATGGGCAGGGACACCTCCCACCAGACCAGGTTGCTCAGAGCCACAACAACCCAGATATTTTACCCAAGATCAGCCAGTCAACATGCACAGAATTTTTAAGTCCTGGACAACAGTTTGTACAAGTAATTTGCCTGCATAAAAATTTAATTTCTGATTTTTTTTACTCCTGAGAATGATAAACAATGGAATTTTTCAGAGATGGCTGATGCATCTTTGTACCAAAACCACACAGATCAACATCTTCCTTAAGCCTGAAGAAAAAACTGCATATCAAATCAGTCTGGGAGCAGCCACAGTACATGAGTGGTTTAGATGAGAAGCTATTCAAGGACACAGAATTCTCTCTTAGGATACTAGGAGGTAACACAGCTTCAAGGTAAGACTGAGCTTCTGTCTGCACAGCAACTCACTGAACTGCAGGCTCAGTCGGCCCAGACTGGGGCAGTCATTTAACAGATGGTGGATAAACACTGAATGAGCATGGAAGAGGAAGGGAACATCACAGAACATCGTGGAGAATCATTGAAGGAGAGAGAATCTAAAATGGAAGCTACATTCAGCAGGTTCCTGGCTATTTGCATAACTTAGAAATAGCACAAAGTAAATATTTACAGACAGCAGTCCTGCATGGGTCAGAATTTTTATCTGGAACGTTTACAGCAGAAAGACAAGGTAACGTGTACAGTTAACAGCTTGTCATCTGAAACACTGATTCAAATTTGACTGAAGAACATAAATGACTTGTAGAGTTCAAGCCTGGCATCCAGGAAATGTTTGTTTGCATTATGAAACTGCTGTCTGGTTATTAGTCTGTTCTCAAGATTGTACTCTTGCAGTGCACCTGCACGAGGCACAGATCCCTGCCAACTTAAACTACTGTTAACAACTTAAATTTAAGCAGCTATGCACACTGGAACTGTGAATGGTGGGTTTTTTTGATCATACAAGAAAATCTTCACTAAAACCACTTTCTAGCCAAGCATAAAAGTAGAGGAATTAAACATTTCACCAAGACTTTAGCTGAGAGCTTTGAAAGAGAAAGTAAAATGCCAATATTAATAACATAATAGAGAAAAAAATATTTTTCTCTAATAGAGAAGACTTTTTCAGTTACTTTCATGCACTTACAAGTAGCTGAAGCAGAGTCAGCTTCCTTTGCCTCTGAGCATCTCTCACTCATGCTGTAACTGAGAAATGAAATCTCTTAGAAGATGCAGTCAGAGAACCATAAGAACAGTGGAAAGGGACTAGAGGGAAGAAATTGAAAGGAGGCTTTAGTCTGTTCCTACTTCTACCACAGTTTTTATAAGAGTTTTCTAAGTCCTTTTAAATCACAATGAAACACACATATGCCCAGAAAGAGCAAATTAATTGGGTGGTTGTGGGAGATAAAATGTATTTAAAGTAAGTAATCAGCAGCACGATGTAGAAAAATGAATATAGTCCAATTTTGTGCATCTAATTTCAATCTGGAGAGTTACTTTTAATTGATTTGCACAATAACTAAGAAGACAAGAGAGAAATAACACTTGGAGAAGTAAACACTTATAACATCCTCTCCACACGTTAAAAAATGCACATTAGAAAGAAGATTAAAAAATGCTGCTCTTTCCCATGTTTCAGCAACAAGTTTAGGTACTTTAGTGCCCATTATCAAACAATATCATTCAAATAGGCAAATTATGCTGCACATAGAGCACAAAAGAACTTCTTTTCCTTAGCAGCCTATACTGTGATGACATAGAAAAGAGATGTCAAGAAAAAAATTAACCATGCTTTCGCAAAAAGGGTCACTGTCGTTGGCTTGTTTCCTCTGAACTTTTGAATCCTTGGGATAAGCACAAGCACGAAGGTCTTTCATCCCCCAACACAAGACACTAGAATCCAGCCAACTAGAAATCCACTTCAAATATTACATACTTCCTTTCCAAATGTCAAGGTTGTTTAGTTAATCGGGAATAACAACGTTCTGCAGAATAAAACTGCAGTGCAAAATTGCAACAGATGCACAAGGTCTTTATGTGCTGTGACTTAATGCAGTGTGTCCACTTATTCAAGCACTTAAGCTGTGCCCCTGGACATCTTATTTACCACAATAATAATATTTTTTTTTATAATAGGACTGCTTTTTTCCCCTTCAATCATACCGCCTACGATAGAAATCCCCACCCGAGCTCTAGGAGTTCATAACTGCAGCACTATACCAAAAAATACTGCATAATACAAGAATGTTGCCACAAAACCAAGTATTCAGAACTAAACATCCCCTTCTCTTTGTCATAAGTTGTCCTTTTTATTATTATTCTTAGGTTACACCAATACTTACAGTCACGAACAGGTAAAACACTTGTTAAGCCCATATCTGTGAAACAATAAGAAGCAGGTTTTGGATTGTTCAGACTTACTCACTTGAGCCTGTCTAACAGTACGTATGTCCAACTAGAATCTTGTCTAACTGCAACCAACCTGACACCTACAGGGTTTTCTAAGTCCAGAAAAATCAGTAAGTACAAAGTTCTTTACCATCAAGTCAGACTAATTCTAGAAAAAGCCACTTTCATTGTGCCCTCCAGCAGCCCAGAGATGACAGAAACTGGGGATGTTTTCAGCTCCTATATGAATAATTCAGCGTCAGCATCACCAACAAGTCCCCATCACTGACAACCTCAAACGTGTGGCTGGGGCCACGATGCACCTCCAGGACATCTTCAGGCTCTAACGCTCTCCTGGCCGAGCGTCCGAGGGGCTGATTTTGAACAACTGGCCCTTTTATTTGAAATATATTGTGATTTTATCTATATATGTATTTTTAACTCGCACTTCTATCTACAAGACAGGGATGAACACCCGAGCACAGCGATGCTCTAGGATGTCTCCAAAAACTTCCTCCCAAGGGCCACCTCCCACAGCCACCCCTCACAGCCACCCCCGGCCACTCGGGACCTTCTCGAACACCCTAAACAGCGTCAATGGAGGGGAAAAAAAAGCAGCAAACCCCAAAACTGCGGGCACCGGGCACCCCCCGCCCGGCCCGCACCTGACCCGC